ACCTCACCTGAAGTTTCTGAAATTCATCAATGCTGAAACATGAGGACCTATTTCATTCAATGGAACTGTTCCTTGTGTCAAATTTTATGAAAACATTGCACTTCATTTTTCTTACTGATTTATGGATATTTCAACTTTTTTCTAATTTTTATCATAACAAGTAGGTATATGGTGAACATCTTTGCTTCTTTCTACACATTGTACAAGTTTCTTTAGCGTGAATATCTAGACGTGGAGTTACTGACTGACAGGACTTCATTATCTTAACGATACCAGATACCCTACTGTCCTCCTAAGCTCGTAGTACTAATTTACCCAAATGACAGCAGCAGTAAACATTTCCATTTCTCCAGGTTTTCACCAGGATTTGATATTATTCTCTATTTCCCCATTTAAAATTTTATCTTACGTTCTTCAATAATCTTCTTAAAAAGTATCTCCATTTAAAAATACTTATTTCTAGGTATCATATAGTTTTTGTTGCTATTCTAAATATTTTCATTACATTTTTTAATTGGTTATCACTGATGTATAGAAATGCCATTGCTTTTTATAGACTGATTCTTGCATTCTTCAAGCCAGTGGGACTCTCTCCTGGTTTCAATATGTTTCTTGCTAATGTACATCATCGAGTAGTGTTTTCAATGCACTTGGACTGAGAATGGTCAACACACACAGTAATCTGGTATTTGTCTCTTGTACATATGATACATATTTGTCTCTAGTACATATGATATATACCATAAAAATATATCTAATACATTTAACACTCTTTCAATCTTAACTTGTGGGCAAGTTTTCTACTAGGAGCTTTGGTGGTGGATTTCTTTTTTATCTTCTTCAAATGGAAAATATTGAATTTTCTTTAATTCTTGACAATTCTTCTCTCCATCATTTTTGGATATTCTTTCTCACCTATTTCATCTAGTCTCTTTTTTGGCGACTCCTGCTACTTATGTTGAATTTTATCCTTCTATGAGCCGCACCACTTAGCATCTCATATTTTTCATTTCTTTACCTCCCTGTGTCAATTTATAGGTAATTTCCTCAGGTCTGCATTTCTAATTCTCTCTTAAGCAGCTTCTAAGATTTTTCTCAGCCCATTCACTGAATTTTAAATTTCAACTAAATTTTAAATTTCAACTCTATATAATTTTTATTTCTAGAGGTAAATGATATTGAGTGCTTTTCCAAAGCTGCTTGTTTATTTTAATATAGGGCCCTATTTTGTACTGTTTTTCCTATTTTTTATTCTTTTATCTTCAAATCATATTTTTATGATTATACATTTTTCACATATTTTTCTGATTCATATGATAAAAATATATACTTTTATGTTTATACAAATTATTTCAGACTATCTTATTCTTCTAGGCCTTAGTGTACAAACATTCTGACTTTTGTGGCTTCTGATTTCATTTTGTAGTTATTTTCCTTTTGTGCAGTGTACTGCTTTATGGTGAGCTTATCAGGTGAGGCAAGTAAGTGGGAATGCCACTTGCCTGACTTGTTGAAGAATTCTAACATAAAGGAAGAATAAAACTGACCCCATTCCCATGTGGTGCACAGGTTTGGGTGTTTGCTTCCTCACTGCACACTAATTTTTCTCCACCTAGAGCCCCAAAGGAGAAAGAAAGATACCGTTGCCCCCGCCAGCTTGCAGGTGGAATTTTCTAGTGCCTGTTTCACTGTCAGGGGACAATTCTAGAGTCTAAGTGAAAACTAAGTGAACTTAGTTTTAATTTCCCTCCATGAGCCCAAACCCTAATGTCAAGTCCTAGAGAGGCCATTGAAACTCCCAACTTTAACCCACATTTTTGGATTAAAACCAGCCTCCCATCCCCCACCCTATGACCTTTGTTGTTCAGCTTTGCTTAGGCTTATGCTTATTAACTTAAATTTCCCTCTTGGGTCTGACATCTAGAAATTTCCCTCTCTTTCCTGAATCAACATGATTACAAATTTATTTACTTTGTTTCATCCAGCATATTTGTACTTGAAGTGGCAGAAATGGTGCCCATTTTTCTCAGTACGATATCTTACCAGAATGTTAGCCATTTAAAATTTACAATAGAAATATACTGAAACCCAAGACTTCATAACCAAGTGCTTTCTTAAAGTGTCTACATACTTCAGTAAAGACAATATTTCTTCCTACTGAAAATCATAAAAAAAAAAAATTACATGGTATAGTGCAACCAAATAAATGTGTACATGTTTTCTGGATAATATGCATTTTGGAAATGAGCATTTATATTGATATCATTTTATTTGAATTTAAGTCTCCGGTATCTTAGCTGCTCAATGAAGTATTGCTTGTTAAATACCATTTAGATCGATCCATATTGTTTCAAATAACTAGTGGACACACCTATGTCTAATCATGTTTTTGTAAAACAGAATGACCCACTACATTTCTCTCTACATTAATAAATATCTGTTCAGTATTTAAATTGTATGCATATTTTGTTGGAACACTGAGTATTTATTATTCTTTTAAACAAGAGACTATAGGTACTTAATTATAGTACATTGCATGCATGCATATTATAATTCACTTGCTGTATGCATATAATTAGTGATTTTTAAAATTATGTTTATGTCTATTGAAATCTGTTTTCTGCAAGTTTTTATCCTAAAAAAAAAAAAAACATTTAGTTTTGTCTAAGAGGTTATAGTCATCTATTTAAAATATCACACAGTTGAAGGGCAACTCTTTTAATGACGCTACTTATTCTTTTATGATTTCTTTTTTTTTTTTTAAAGATTTTATTTATTTGACAGAGAGAAACACAGCGAGAGAGGGAACACAAGCAGAGGGAGGGGGAGAGGGAGAAGCAGGCTTCCCGCCGAGCAGAGAGCCCAATGCGGGGCTCGATCCCAGGGCCCTGGGATCATGACATGAGCCGAAGGCAGATGCTTAACAACTGAGCCACCCAGGCGCCCCTCTTTTACGATTTCTTAATTGCTGCTTTGTGTTTTAATTGTCTGTGTAGAGCTTCAAGTGTCTTTGTAAGAGGCATGTTTCTTAACTAGGATGGTAATCGCTCAGTACAAGACAGAGGCAGGCAGAGATCTGGCAGGGGGCAGGCAGTGGCTCAAGGAGCTTTCACTCAGAGTCCTGCTAGTGGCTCTAGCTCTCTTGTTCTAGCCTTTCTCTCTATATTTACCAAAGAAAGGAAAAAATGAGGCCTGCATCCCTCACTCACTTGTTACTCTTTCCTTGCAAATACCAGACATCTCCAGTGTATGAACAGTAGGTATATAAAAACATTCCTTTTCTTTTTTCCAGTTTGATTTCCTGTATTCTAGTGACTCAGGAGATTTCTCTTCATTTTAAGTTCAGCTTTGCCTGTCCTTTATTTGAACAAGTGATAAAAGTTAGAGATTTCCGGGGAGTTTTGTAAAAGAAATAAAATCCACAAAAGCTACATTTTGGTAAATATTAGAGAAGATGAACTAAGCCTGTAGGACTGTCCAAAAAGACACACAGGATGAAGAGCAGAGGTTAGGGTCCTTAAACAAGCGACCACCCACAGACGGCGACACAGTCTTGGTCTGCGCTGTGGCAATTTGTCATTTCAAAGAATATTGGAATAAAATGTACTATATCTAGGAAATTTACTATGTTCCAGTACATGAAAACTTTTACTATAGATTATGGACTTTCTGCCAGTTTACACAGACAAAAGTTGTATAGTTTCAGTAGTCAAAAAAAGCACCTAAATGACCCATGATATAACATAAGCCTATTATGTAACTATTATAATATTTAGCTTCTTATGTCAGACATTCTTGTCCCAATAAATATACACATCACATTAATACTAATATTTACTTCTTGTGTTATATTGTAATGCTTGTATGCACATACACACATAACAAATGGAAGCATATAATTTACAGCTTCTTGGATAAGATTAATGATTTAATAAAGGTTCTTAATAAGGTTCCACCCATGATTGAGAACAAAGAAAAAAAATAAGTAACATTCATTTTTATATCAGTACGGCATTCTAACTTTTTCAATGATTGTTCATCCTCTCGACTAATGTCGATAATAACACTGCTCAATCCCAACGTTTTGGAACTGATTGGTACAGTTAAAGGAAATCAGTTCTATCGTTTTAGACTTGGACATGCCTCTGTTTCCTCTGTGTGTACAAGCTGCGGTTGTAACGCATCCCTCCGCGTCAACATGATGAGCTATTAGCTGAGTATGTACAACAGAGAATGTCGTATTTCTGAAAGTACTCTTAGGAGGAAAAATTGAGGCTTTAATCAATTCCCCTGGGTCTTCTTACATTTTCGGTAATAAAACAGAAGAATCAGAAGGTAGCATTTTCAGACAATCTGGGTCTAAACTTCAGGAGATTATTTAAAACGCCAGAATGTAACCCTCGGCAGAATTACTTTCAGAGTTAGATACAAAGCTACGGTAGGTTTGAGCGTATAATCGTTTTACATGGTTGCTCTTTGTAATGCTGTTTTTCAATTCACAGGCTAGCTGGGTAATGGGGGAAAGGTGTTTTTGCTATAAAGTGACACCTCGGGCGCCTGGGTGGCTCAGTCGGTTAAGCGACTGCCTTCAGCTCAGGTCATGATCCTGGAGTCCCTGGATCGAGTCCCGCATTGGGCTCCCTGCTCGGCAGGGAGTCTGCTTCTCCCTCTGACCCTCCCCCGTCTCATGCTCTCTCTCATTCTCTCTCTCTCAAATAAATAAATAAATGTTAAAAAAAAAAAAAAAAAAAGTAACACCTCTTCTTAGGGTGACCGGTCCTTCTTGAGTTGGTAGGTTTTTAGACAAATAGTGGATGTATGGCAGCCGCCAACCTGGTTGTAGAGGCACATAGAGGAGGACCACAAGGAGAATAGATGGTGGATATTTACAGGAGAAACTGTTACAATTGGCTTACTGTCAACAGACAGAACAGAACAGAGAAGCCAAGGAAAAGGACCTTCTGTCTTGACAGCCAGCTTTACCGGCATACACAACACACCTTGCAGTTGCAGGGTCCAAAACAAGGGTCCTCATTTGTGCTCCCTGCACCACTGCAGTTGCACGGCTTGCAGTGTGGGTAGCCAGCGTAGCCCCGGGCACAGCGGTCACAGCTCACGCCTCTGAAGCCAGGTCTGCAATGACAGGACCCAGGTGCCAGACCTAAGGGAAGACGAGCCACATATCGACAAGTGAAAAACACACACACACTTCAGTTCCTAAGGCTTTAGTGATAAGAACATTCGAAATTCTATTTTGACACAAAAACGAATTCACGAATATTGATAAAAAAGAGTTAAAACCAAAGGGTATAAGGTTTAATTAGAAGCTGGCTACGAGTCGGTAACACAGCATCTCTTACATATCTTTAAAATATGATTAACATAACATAATAATAAAAAATAAAATAGATTTGAATTAAATAAAAAAAATAAAAATACTAAGAATGAACAAAAGAAAGATAAAAGTCTCGAAGCATCTACCAAATCTAAGACTACAGAAGAACTGCCACAATGATCAAGGACTCATCTCCATAACTGACTGACATTCAAAGAATAAGCAGTGACCTGTGATACCTGTTGCTTCATAACTCAGACTATCATGAGATGGAAAAAGTGCCTGGCAAGTAAAAATATACTGCTTAAACCCCAAATTAAACAACAATCATCAAAGTATGACATCACTGAGTACAACAACAACAAAAAGACTGAGAGTTCGTGGGGATAGATATTTTGAGGACAAGACATAGAGGAAAATGAAAGCAATTTAAATTTACTTTTTCTTTTTAAATAGAGAAATGCAAAAGACAATTTTAATTCTCCTTGTTTAGAAAAATGGAAAATGCAGATGAATAAATACAAGTTACTGACTTTCAAAATCTGGAAAAGTATGAGAGCAAATCAGTAAAATATAGCCCACTCAAAAAAGGAAAGGAGGGGAGAAAGAAGCAAAGGAATATTACAGGGGGAAAGCACACAGCAGAATGACTGTCCAACCCACATGCTAATCATATGTAAATGAGTTCACTATCTTACTGCTCCCATTAAAACTATGTACGTGTAATGTTCAGAAGAGATAGGCAAAATAAGAAATATTAAAAAAAAAAGAATGTAAATCTACATTAAGAGAGCATATAGAGTTGTAATATTAGTAATGGCCGAAGTAGAATCCAATGAAAATACATTCATTAGGGGGCTCCCGCGTGGCTCAGTTGGTTAATTGCCTTCAACTGGGATCATGATCCCAGGGTCCTGGGATTGAGCCCCACTGCAGGCTCCCTGCTCAGCGGGGCATCTGCTTCTCCTTCTCCCTCTGCCCCTCTCCCCGCTAATCCCCCGCTAGTGCTCTCTCTCTCAAATAAATAATCTTAAAAAAAAAAATAGATTCATTAGGACAAGCCCTCATTTTATATTGATGACAATACAATAAAAAGCATGACTTAAGTTATTATATTTATACTCCATAGAAGCACTAATTTTAAGTACAAAAATATATAGACAACAAAAGATTTGGGGGCTCAAAAAGAAACTGGCCAAAAATCAGTGGCTGAGAATGACAGTAACCTACTCACTTCAAATATTTGTTGATGAATTAGGAAAAAAAAGACATAGAAAAACGTGAATCATCTACTATTGTTGAATTACACATTATATTGTATATACCTACCTATTGCAGCTCATCATTAATCTACAAAAATGTTCAATTTCTCAAAGCAGAAATGATCCAAGTCTTGTTTTAACATAAATTACTACTTCTATATTTGTAACAAATGTCATGATAAATTACGATTGAAATAATTTGAAATATCAAACATGATAATAGAATATTTTGCAAAATTCCACCACTCTAAAAATGAATAAATATTTCTCCTTTTAACTCGAGTGAAAGAGAAATCAAGACTTTAATTGTGATTAAATAGTTTTCTAAGTAGAATATAACAGCAGTGAGAAAGAAACTTAACAATGTTTATGGAAAAAAAACGGTAGCCACTTTCAAGCTTAAATACATTAAAAAATGTAAATAAGTTAAAATTTAGCTCATGTAATTATAAAAAAAAAAAAAGAGAGAAAAACCAAATGAACACCACAGGAAAGAAGAAGATTTGAAAAATAAACAGAAAGAAAATAAGGCAAAAGAGAACTTTAAAGATAATCAAAGATATCAAAAGAGGACAAATGATCAAAGATCACCACAAAAATGTTTTAGTAGCAGTTAGTTTTTACAGTGTTTTCAATGTTTGAAACTCTTATGGAGCATCTAAAACGTGGAGAACTATGTAATTTAGTTTATAAAGCTAGTAAAAACTTGGTATCAAAATCTAACAAAGATAACCCTAAATAAACATAATAAGAGCTAACAATTAAATAGCACTTATTTTATGCTAGGCATTACGCTTGGCACTACATACGACACATGGGTTAATTCAGTTAATACTCAAAACCTCAAAATGAGGTAAACACTATTATGTTTTCCATTTTACAGATGAGGAAACTAAGGCACAGAGAAATTAATTTGTTTGCCAAGATAGCACAGCTAGCAGATGTCATAGCCAAAACCAATTTAACATATGAATTCAGAGGAGCAAATCCTAAATAAAATAAACACCAAACTGAATCCTAAAGTACATTAAAAGGCTCTTACGTGATGACCAAGAAGATTTTATTCTGGTAATTTAAATATTGTTTCATATTAATAAATTCATTTTTAACATATTCATAAGTCAAATGAAAAAGAAATCTGATAATTTCAATAAAGGTTGAAAAAGCATTCCAAAAAATTAACATTTACTTCTCATGTTAAAATCTCCAGACATTGAGACTAAGTGTAGATGTATTCCATACAATGACCATGTCTTTTTTTTTTATTATGTTATGTTAATCACCATACATTACATCATTAGTTTTTGATGTAGTGTTCCATGATTCATGGTTTGCACATAACACCCAATGCTTAATATCGTGTATGTTGTAACATTGTAATATTGCAAACTAGATGTCCAAAGACCCCCTCTTGGTCAGAACATTTGACAACACAGAATAAAGTTAGAGACAGACAGATAGACAGAATGACTGTGCTGGTTTAAAATAAGGAAACTCCTTGAAGATCAGAAACTACAAAATTAAAAAAAGAGAGAGAAAGAGAAGAGATTCTAAAGAAATAAGCTAGCCCTTAACCAGTATCTTTCCTGGAGTTGACTGACTCTGATTAACTAGACTAGAGCCCTGAGCATGGCTTTATGGAACAAAAGACAAATTCTAGGTACTACTCAAGTTAGGAGATCGTATCAGAGATTATATAAACTCAAGGATCCTGAAAGGATAAACTAGGACATTTACACAAACATGCACACACATACACACACACACAAATCATGGAACACACAAGAAAATAAGGCCCCAGTGAATAAGTTAGCAGAAAAACCAACCCCCAGCATTAGGTTCAGATAGATAACAGAGAATGTTACTAAGAGATACAGAATATAAAATAAATATACTTAATATGCTTAATGAAAAAAATTGTATTAAATATAGATCAATTTAAAAGAGACTACTGAAAAAACAAAATACAGCTAGAAACTCTCTTTATAAAATATACCAAATAAATTCCATACTGATTAAGGAACTAAGTATCAAAAAGTGAAACAATAAAAATTAAGAAAATGAATACATTTGTCTGATCTTGGGATAGATGAGAGTTTTAGAATTCTAAAGGCATATCAGAAATTCAATTAAAATATTAAAATATAATAATCTTGACATAATACCTTATTATAGCTAAAGAAGTTTTCTAAGTTGTAATAGGTGATTATATAAAAAATTTTAAAGTTTCATATATAAAAAAAATCTTAATAATAGCGAGACACAAAATCTGTTTACGTTTATAACAAATTTAACATACGGTTGTTGTTTTTAATATTTAAAGAGCTCTTACAAATCTATGAGGGAAAATCCACCTTATACCAAAAGTAACCAGTTTTCTGGTAATCAAGTTAATGCCATAAAATACCATTTCCCACTATCTGGTTACTCATACTAAGAACTCCAAAGCATTAGATTACAACTTAGACTCTCCTAAAAAATCATCAAGCTAAACATGAAGATAAAAATGTATCATGGGAATGTGTCTAATTTTGTAACCCAGGTCTATATTGAATAATATATAATTATAATATTATAAACTTTGATTATTGCATTTCAATTTTAAAATTAGAAGAATTAATTAGGTCTCAAATTAAATATAACTGTATGATCTTGTTTGGGGGGAATCACTGATTTTTATTTTTTGTTGCATTTGGTTTTTCCAGTTTTATTGACAAATAATTGACATGTCATTGCATAAGTTTAAGATGTACAATGTTTTGACTTGATAGACTTATATTTTGTGAAATGATTACTACAGTAGTGCTAGTTAACACTTCCATCACCTCACATAATTTCATTTTGTGGTGAGAACAGTTAAGATCTATGCTCTTAGCAACTTTCGAGTATGTAATACAGTACTGTTAACTATAATCCCCATGATGTATATTAAATCCCTGGATCTCATTAGTCTTATAACTGGAAGTTTGTGTCCTTTGACCGGCATCTCCCCATTCCCCCCACCTCCCAGTCCCTGGCAACCTCCATTCTGTTCTGTTTTGTTTTTTTTTTTCAATATGTTCAGCTTTTTTAGATTCCACACATAAGTGATATCATACAGTTATTGTCTTTCTCTCTCTCACTTATTTCACTTAGCATAATGCCCTCAAGGTCTGTTCACATTGTCACATAATGGCAGGATTTTCTTCTTTCCCATGGTTGAATAATATTCGATGATATGTATGACATATATATTTATGTGTGTATGTATATCTATATACCTATATATAGATGAACTTTGAAAAGATAAAGATGCAACTGACAGATATGCCAAGTGAGTTGGAAGATCAGTGGGGAGTATAGGGATTTACACATAGTAGGAACCTCAAAAGAGGAGTCTAAATTTAATGGCTCATAAAATGACTTGAACTTTTTATTTAACATGATAAAAATACCATACATAAGAAAAATGTCTGAATAGTGGAGAGAAGGAAGGAAGCAGTGTGAATGAAAACATTTGTCTTTTAAGATGGAGAGTCAGTAGGCAATATTTAATGGTGATGAAAGTACTAAGAATACTATTTAGATATTGTCTGGAAGATAAGTTTTTCCAGAACTTAATAGAAGAAATGGCTCAGTGTGATAAAATTTGGAAATGAGATTGGGGGATGAATAAGTTGAAGAGGATACTATTGCTATTTATTTTATTCTCTTCCCAGTTGTTAAAATTTTACTTTTACTATGTATGGTTTTTATAATAATTGAAAAATATTTATACACAAATATCTTCACTAAAGCACTGGTTACAATAAACAAAATTAGAAACAATCTTAATAGCTATATAAAGTTGAGTGGGTAAATAAATTATGGTGTATCCACGTAATGATATACTATTCAGGTACTAAAACCAGATTTCAGAGAAACTCTCAACAGTTTGGGGAAAAACTCATTATGTGAAGTTAACACAAACATGTTAATAAGAGTATTTATGATGAATTACCACTGCATTGTATGCTTATTTTTCTACTTTTCAATATTTTATCACTTTTTCAAAAATAATACACTTTAAAAAGTACAAAAATAAAAAGTACAGAAAAAAGTTAAATGACATTACTGAAAATAACATGATTTAGTTGTTACTACAAAAAGATAAGGAGCCATAAAATGAAAAATGACCTCAATAATTCACCATTTGAGATTTAAAATACTCAGAGTTTTAATTTTTTAAGATTTCAGACTGTAAGGTTTACCTTGATAATCTTACAGTTTTATAAAGAAACCAGGTAAGCTACACTGTGCCAAAGAAACATTGCCAGTGTTTTAACTTGAGAGCAATGGGAGGAAAAACCCTATATTGTAGCCATGATTTATTTTCGTCTTTCCTAAGAGAAGAATCCACTCTTAGCAGTATAAAGAAACTGTTTCAGATACGTCCTAATGTTCTACTTAACTGTGGCAAGCAACTCTCCTGGAAGTCGCTCTTCAACATTTTATATCAAGGAGTTATTTTGGCATTTGATTCTTCAATGTTTGGAGTTCATCACAAATTTCAATCCTCAAAGAAGGTATTTGGCTTAAATTTCTGTCAGCCTCTTTCCCTTCATTAACTCATGACTACTATCTATTTTTAGTCCTTTATGTAGAGTTTTGCTTTCTGTACTATTGACTACATCTCGGTGTGTGATGTCTGTTCTCACCTCCCATGCAGCACAAACATCCCTCAGTGAATGCTGTCTTTTCAGGCCTGAAACCACAGAAACTACAAAAAACAATTCAATAAATAACAAGACATTAAAAAATTATATACATCACAGATTTCTGATTGACCAGAAGATAGATGTGCATAGATATGTAAATATGCATATATGAATATACATATATATGCATATAATGCAAAATAAATTATTTAACTCTTTTTGCTTTTAAAGCATTATAATTAATTAATTGTAATTAATTTACAGGAAAATAATTATTGAGATGAATAAAAAACTGCTTCCTGGAAGGAACATTGATAGATATGAGAATAAAATTATTAAATGAATGAAATTCACTGCAAAATGTCACCCTAAAAATAATCATATCTGACTTTTCGTTGCCCTTTTATCAAAACAACAGCTCTCTGCTATCGCTCTCACCTCGTCGAGCATGTTTTTCATCCTTCACACAGACTTCATTTAAGGAACCAACTGGATCACAACGGCATGGCTGGCATGGTCTTGGATAATTTGGAGATACCTAACAAGAATATTAAATGGCTCTTAGTCAAATGTAATAAAAACGTCAATATTTTTCAACTTGGCAAACTTCTAAGGACAAAATAAATTTAATAATACATAGTAATAAATTATATTGAGAAAATTATATAGGAAATTATCTTTAATATATATTTGCAATTTCCAAAATCCCTTTCCTCTAAATAGATACACAAATGCAAAGAAGATAGTACAATATACTTCTATTTATTGCTACGTATATTCAGCAATTATCAAGATTTTGCCATATGAGTTCCATCATTTTTCATTCTTTGCTGAAGTTTAAAGAAAACTGCAGATAGAGTATTTTAATCCTTACACATTTTAGTATGCATCTTTCTTTTACAATCATAGTATCATTATAATAAATAAAATAACAATATTTACTTGATAGTCTCTAATATATATTCCTTAATAAAATCCTTCTGATTGTTTTTTTGTGTTTTTCTTTTCTTACAACATAGTTCAAAATTAGTAATTTCCCCAAATTTAATTTTTAGGAAGTTTGTTCACGTTGATCATGATGTGGCTAATTAAAAATAGAAATTTATATTTGGTGCTGAAAAAAATAATATTAAGTAGGCAAATTAAACATTTGGCTTCCTGGAAAGACAGCATCAGCCAAGGGCAAACAATGTAGTCTCCACAATTAGGAAAATGTGAGCTCACATCTCAGTGTGCCTGCTGACTAGCTATGTGACATCATGTAACTTCTCTACTTCCTTGTGATATGAGGATCTCAGTAGCAACTACAGTGATATTATTAAACTAAAATTAAAAGGAAGAACATATAAAAGATCTGATAAGATTCCTCAGATATATTAAATATTCAATACAACTAATTTTAATGTTAAAATTTTTAATTAAACAAACCTAGACTATGATAATATGCTGTAATTACAATACTTGTTTTCCAGATGCAATAGGATAAGAAGAAAAATAAATTTGCCTAGGGTATATCTAAATACTGTGCACATGCTCTCTCTGTGTCTCTCTCTCTCTCTACTCTATATAAATAAATCTATTCATATAAATATATGTATTTCCCCCATAAAATATAGCCATACATATGTATATATCTATACTTTATTTATAAATGTAAACTTGTTTACTAATATAAATCAAAGTGTTATAACTAGAGTTATTTACATGTCTGATAGAATATCAATCAATCAGCTCTATTCACAGATCAGTTTTAAAATCATCATTTAAGACACATTTATTCATTCCCCATTATGAAGTAAGAACTGTGCAAAAGCACAGATAGGTAAGGCCTGGTGTCTGCCTTAAATAACAGGCTTGAAAGGTATTGATTAAATAAAATGTGCTAAGTGATAAAATAGACATACAAACAGAGCATTAGGGCACAGAAGAGGAGGGAGTAATAATACAACACACTGAAGTCAACAATGTTTCACAGAAGTGACATTTAGACTGAAGCTTGAAGTATGAGCAACAGTTTCAGAATAGGTATGGGAGAAGGGCTCTCTACCTAGAAAAAAACACCAAGACATGAAAACAAAAAATGAAAGAAAAAAAAAAAACCCTCTGTGGACAAAAGACAAAAAATTTCTTTTAAATGAGATCTTGGCTGTAATAAATATGATTCATGATTCCAATGATGAGCTTGAGTAAATCAAAGTCTCCTAATTCATTATCCTTCTTTGTGGTAATTGGGGAAATCTGCCAGATTGCTGACTAGGAATCTTTCTAACATGAGATCCTATAAATATATCAACTTTGCACATGATTTTTAATTTTATTAAAATAATTCAGATTACTAATTAGTTCTCAAAATAAACATTGCATTATATATATTTGATTTAACTATTAAATATATGGATTTAGTAAATAAATCTTAAATCAGATTTTAGGACAATAATTTTTAAAATGTTGTAGAGGTGTTATTTAGTTGACAACTGCAATGCAAAAAAATTTTTCTTTTTATATCTTTATAAAAATGAAATGGACTTCTGGGGCCCTTGGGTGGCTGGGTCAGTTGAGCGTTCAACTCTTGATTTCAGCTCAGGTCATGATCTTAGGGTCCTGTGTTGGCTCCATGCTCAGTGGGGAGTCTGCTTCCCTCCCACTCTCTCTGCCCCTCCCTCTGCTCATGCACTTCCCTCTCTCTCTCAAATAAATAAATCTTAAAAAAAAAAAAAAATGAAGTGGGCTTCTACCCAAATATTAGGCACTTGAGAGATTTGAATTTTTAACAAATAGTGTAGCATAAGTATTTTTATAAGTATTAAAACACCATAATCTAGGCTCCGATTCACTTAATTGACTAGTAATAAAAACATGAAGCTTCCAGGTTTTATAATGGCCGTGTCTTGTATGGTCCAATCTACTCTCAGATAGCAATTATTAATTCTGGACAAAATATGAAAGTAAAATATTTAAGGGCCTGGGAAATTAATCAAAAGCAGGCAGAACTTGGAAGAGTTTGAGGTTTGGAAGAATTTGAGGTTTGAAAGAAAAAAAATATACTAGCTGAGATATACATTCAGAGATGGGGAGCACCAAAATCTGCATATCAACACTCTTCGAATGCTTAACTGATCCCTTAATCATATATCCATTCAGGAGACTCCAAGGAATCCAGTGGAAAGTAATAGCAGGAAAGCTCAATGATGTGAGTAAAGTTTTCAGGTCTGCATACCATAGAGTAAACAGAGATTGGAGTTGTCAACCAAGTTAGCAAGATTAGACAACCACCTTGAGCTTTTATTATTATTATTATTATTATTATTATTATGTTATGTTAATCACCATACATTACAACATTAGTTTTTGATGTAGTGTTCCATGATTCATTGTTTGCCTATAACACCCAGTGCTCCATGCAGAACGTGCCCTCCTTAATACCCATCACCAGGCTAACCCATTCCTCCACCCTCTCCCCTCTAGAACCCTCAGTTTGTTTTTCAGAGTCCATAGTAGCTCTCTGTTAATCTACCCTAACACAGTGTAAAGCAAGCCTCTACATAATCTAGTTTAAAACTACTAGAACGAATAAAGGAACTCAGGTATAGGATATAACATCAATATTTGAAAATCTTGATAATAATATTAAACAATTTTAAAATTATTTTTTATAATAATACATAAATATACTGAGAATTAACAAAAGACATGCAAGATCTCTGTACTGAAAACACTGCTGTGAATATTTAAAGGACATATAAATAATTGGAGAGACATGCTATATTCATGGATTACAAGACCCAATATTAGCGTTTGTTCTCTCCATATCTGTATTTAGATTCTATACAACAGTCTCAACTAATATTTCTGTCATTGACAACTTCATTCTAAAATTTGTACGGGAATATAAAGAAATCATTATGTCCAAAACAATCTTCAAAAGGAAGAATAAAGTTAGTGCACTTAGGTTTCTGAATTCTAGACTTATTAAAGGTAAAATAAATCAAGATACAATGCTATTAACGCAAGGATGGACAAAAAAATCCATGGGACAGAACTAGGGCTCCAGAAATTGACCCACATGATCAAACCACATGATTTGCCACAAATTCCTCAAAGCAATTTATTTATTTATTTTTTGAAGATTTTATTTATTTATTTGAGAGAGAGAGAGCAAAAACAGAGGGAGTGACAGGCAGAAGGAGAGGGAGAATAAGTCTCCCTGCTCTGTGGGGAGCTGGATGTGGGCTCCATCCCAGGACCCTGAGATCACGGCCTGAACCAAAGACAGAGGCTTAACCAACTGAGTCACTCAGGCGCCCTGCCTCAAAGCAATTTAAAGGAAAAAAAGAAGTACTTAAAAAAAAAAAAAAAAAGGTTCTGGAACAACAGGTTAACCAGGTAGATCTTAATCATTATTTTATACCACACTCAAAGATTTGCTTGAGATGGGTCATAGATCTAAAAGCTAAAATTACAGTGTTTCTAGAATTAAAAAAAATACCTTGGCTTGAAGAGAAACTTCACAAGATATAAGAATAGACAATAAGCACTTACTATGAAAATTAAATCCAAAATGGGACCAGCTGTAAATTTATAATAGAAGATCTGCAGTAGCACCAAGCATTGATAGGAATGACTTAGTGACTGACAAATATCCACTAGCCACACCCACTGTACCCACTACAATAGCTAATTCAAAAAGACAGTCAATACCAAATATTAGAAATGATATGGAAGAATTGGAACTCACACATTTTTGGTGAACATGTAAAATATTGTTACTAATTTGGCAAAATGTTGGCAGTTTCTTATAAAGTCATATAAAGACATTATAAATATCCTATAAAACAAGTATTCTATCCCTAGATACTTACGCAAACAAGGTAAATAAAACTTGACCACAAAAACACTTAACATAATATATAAGTCCTTCTGTGGTCATGTTTTATTTAATATAAGCAGTGTTTTGTAAGAGCTAACCAAAACCTGAAAATGACATAAATATCCACCAACAGAATGGATTAAAAATTGCAGTACATTCATGCAAAGGAATAATACTCAGTAATTAAAAAAAAAAAAAAAACTATGGATGCACACACCATGGATAACTCTTTAAATGTTATATTGAGTGAAAGAAGGAGAACAAAATTGTATTCATTTTATGATTTCATTTTTATGAAATTCACTAAGAGGCAAAACTAATTTATGTTCTAAAAATCAGTTTGCCAAGGGGTGAGGATTGACAGGAATGGGGCATAATGGAACTTTCTAGAGAGATGGAAGTGTTTTATACCACATCCTCAAAGATTTATCCAGTTTCTATTTTGAAACACTTCCAGTCACCTCTTAGAATTTGCAGTCAAATTGCTCAGAGAAGCTTTCAAAATTATTTTTCCATATAATACATCTCTGTATGAAAAAGCCAAAAATAACACTTTGTGAAGGAAAAAGCATACTTTACCCCTTTGGGTCTGAAGAAACCATCAATGCATGTCTCACAGTTTATACCAGCTGTGTTTTGGGTGCAGTTAATGCACACACCCCCTCCAATGTACTTTCCATGGATATTTAAACTCAGATTTCTTCTGGCAACATTTTCATCATAGTAGCATTCTTCAGCTTTCCCATGACAATTGCATGCTGCATTAGGGAAAAATAAATTCATAAACATTAATTTCAGGTTTCAGATATTGAAAATCATTTTCTGTTATATAATAGATTTTTGTACTCTATGAGAAATTATATTGCATTAGCATATATATATAAAATCAGTACAAAATTATCTAGAAAGTATTTGGATTTATTGAATATATTAATAAATTCATACTTTTTAATGGAACTTGAAATAATTAAAACCTATAAATTAAACTGAATCATATGAAACTGCTAATATTTGACTGATTTTATTTTACAAAACTGAAATTTCTCATGGTTCAACCCATAATTTCCTATTATGACAAACAATAAATTATTGAACTATGGCACTGAATGATTAATATCCAGGTAATCTGCAATGGATAATTATTACATGTGAATTTCAGTGTTAGAACCTATGGGTAAAAAAGGACACTTAGGACATAATTCCTTTTTTGCGCTCCTGATAATAACTAAAACTTGGGTTTTTTTTATATGCTATGTTCTGTTTTATATTTATTGCCGCTGATTTTAATTCTCAAAATAGCTTTACGAGTTAGGGACTCTTTTCATCTATCAGGCACGGAGATAAAGAGAAGTGAAGTAATTATAGAAGGTAACCAAATCAGTCTTGTCAACCTCACTCTAAAGTGAGGCTCCTGAGTCTACAGGGCTAACACCTGGCAAATCCCTTCAAGTTCTATCTGATAAGAGAGATGAACTGTATGATAAGTGCCAAGGAATCAGGACAATATGAGAGCTGGTTTGCTTAGTGGCTGAGATCACACTGTTTTGCATCAGTCTTGGTGCTCCAGTACTTAGTAGTCATGTGACGTAGGGAACTTCTGAATTTCACTTAGGCTCAGTTTCTGTAAACATGGAGAGGTCAATAGTAATTACCAGATAGGAATATTTAAAAGCTTTACGTGAGAAAATGCCTGCAGAATCATTAGCATAATGCCTTGTATATAAGTTCTTAATCAATTTTTCCCCCCAACTTCTTCCCCCTTGATCCTCCTTGTCTTCCAATCCCCTTCCCTTCTTCCTCCTCCTTTTCTGTTTCATGTCATACTAAAGGAGCTCAGGGATATGAAAAAATTATTCCCCCAGGAAGAACTGGGTAAGGCTTTAAAAAAAAATGGGTAAAATTTATTTTAGGATGGGAACTAGGGAAAAAGATATATTATGCAGAATCTCCTTTCACAGATGCTGAGTTTCTTAGATGTTCTTACATGGATTTCCACATATATGTGTGGGGGGGTGGGTACATATGTGTATACGGGTTCATGTGTGGGGCACACAGCTTAGTCTCCCCCCCCCCACAGAGGGAAACATTTATAAACTGTTCTGAACTATTTCCAAATTTTTACTAACAGTAAATAGCATACTCTTTCTCTATTAGCATATGTTTCCCCTAAGGCTACACAGGGTACTTCTTGAATGGGGTGTTTAACAGATCCCTATTAATGGGTAATTATATTGTTTCCAGATTTCTCTTTCATAAGTAACACTGAGTACATACTAGGAGAACAAGGAGGTGGGAGAGGATTGGGGGTTCTAATGTCATACTGCTTCCCATTTGTCATATGAGTGACTCTGTGAAGAAAATTTAAACCTTGGTGTCATTTTTTTTTTTAAGATTTATTTATTTATTTGTCAGAGAGAGAGAGAGCACAAGCAGGGGAGCGGCAGGCAAAGGGAGAAGGAGAAGCAGGCTCCCCAGTGAGCAGAGAGCCCTACACGGGGCTCCATCCCAGGACTCTGGGATCATGACCTGACCTGAAGGCAGACACTTAACTGACTGAGCCACACAGGCGCCCCACTTGGTGTCATTTTTATGCTTCCCTCTTACGGATGTTGTGAGAATGCAAAACACCCAGTGGAATAGCTGGCACCCGGGAAACACTCCGCTGCATAAATGTTAGAAGCAGTCATAGTAGTGATTATGTGCTCCTGACAGAGTCCTAATGGGTTCTGTACAGCTATACGATGACATCTATAGGCGAAATTCCTGCAAATATAATTTCTAGTCAAATTTTAACTTCAATTATTTTGAAAAATTTCCCTCCAAAAATGCTATGTCAGATTACTTTCCTTCCAAAAGATATGATAAAACTTTAACCATAGCCTCACCACCACTGTGTATTATCAACCCTCTTAATTAGTTCCTGGACATAGTAAGCATTTGGGTACTCGTTGAGTGAATGAATGATAAGCTTTGATAAGTTGAAAAGAGTATTTTCATTGTTTTAATTGGTACTTCTTTAATTATGAATAAGTGTGATAACCTCTTTAGATCGTTTTGAGTCTTGTCTTTTCCTGAGAAATGCCTGTTTTAATCTTTGCTCATTTTTAACCGGTTTATTGAATTCTTTCTTATTGTTATAGAAGATGTCTTGATATAGTAAGAATATTATCTCCTTGTCATGTTTGTAGCAAATAGCTTCCCCAGTCTGTTGACTCTGGTTTAGAATATAAGATTCTTGCTATACTGATGGAAAGTTTTCAAACTTTATTCTAGGGAAACTGTAGTCATAAATATAAATCACTAGGCATTAGAAGCAGTTTTTTATCTTTAGGACAATACACAAGAATTCTTAAAAATCCTGTTATAAAAATACATTGCAAGAAAACAGGCAAGATTCCTGCTTCCAGTTTAAGTAGAGGGAAATATAGAGGAATGCAAAGTGATTCTCACATTATTTAGATTTAGTATTTATAACCATGAGCGAAGTAGGTAAAACACTGAGGCTGGGGGAGCCCTGCTTTTCACATTCCATGCCCAGGGCCCGCTGCCTACAGTTTCCGTGGCTGTTTTCAAGGCCCTGCACCTGCAAAATTCCCCATTTATAGCCTCAGAGAACACGGATGGTACCCACTCACAAAGAGCAATTTTTCACTCTGCCATCAGCAGTTTGCTATCTCACAGAATGTCCAAGACACGTGATAGAAATGTCTTTAGTACAGGCTTAGCAAGGGAAGAAATACTCTTTGCTTTTTAGAGATATACCCTGCCTTAAGTAAGCCAGATTGATGAAAATCCAAATTAAACTCAAATGAATTAGTAGGTAATTATTCATTTTATAGAAGGATCTGTCATGTTACAGAAGGGTTTTTCTACATCTTAAGGTGATTGGAACACAATTCAACTTGGAAAAGAAAATTTTCATATAAGCTTTTAGGAATGCATACATAAAAGCATGATATTTATGTAAGGTTCTAAGGTTTGGATTCCTATCTTTAATTTGTGGATAAAATAGAAAAACATTTTTTTTTTCAGTTTGGAAATACAGCCTCCCATCTGTCCCATAAGAAAAGATAATTGTTTCAGAATTCTACTATTTAAAAAATGTATATAGTAACAAGTGGCAATGTGCTTCTGTGTTGCTTTGTCCATCCCAGTTGCTCACAAATTTGAGCTATACTTTTTGTTTCCTTGTGTAAATATATATACACAAATGGAGAGTGGTACAGGATTTTGCAGATCCACTTTACAAAACTAGAACTGTGTGAGAAAGTCAGGGGCAACAGTAAGGATCCCTGCCCTCAAACGCTGCTCCCATTTGGGATTGCTGATATTCCACCAGAGGAAGAGAAATATAATTAAATTTAAAGATATTTGAGAACATGAGTGGCATTTCCCTTAAATTCACTCTTAGGAATGAATGTCTGCTCTCACTGGGAGAAGCTGAGGGATGGTCAGGAATGGGGTAGGGGATAGGTGAAGGAAACAAAAGCTGGGACTCCAGATGCCCCTTTTACCACAGTATGTGGTGGTGGCCTATTTCTGCAGATATAACTCAGTAACAATGGGTGATTTCTAACAAAACATCTTCACAATCAGGCAGACACAAATCAAAAGGCAAAAAAAGGGCACCTGCGTGGTTCAGTTGGTTAAGCGCCAGCTCTTGGTTTCAGCTCAGGTCATGGTTTCAGGGACGTGAGATAGAGCCCTGCATCAGGCTCAGTGCTCAGCACGGAGTCTGCTTGGGATTCTCATCCTCTGCCCCTCCCCCCCTCTATAAAATAAATAAGCAAATCTTTTCTAAAAAAAGGTGAGTACAGAAAATGGAGGGACTCAAGGCATTGATAATATATGCAGAATCTTAAACTCGAAAGAAAATATTTTATGGTTGGGGGATGATTAAAGTTTGCTATGATTCAATAGTTTTAAGAACCTACCATGTCTGACACATGATACGTGATAAAATTTTTTTAAATAAATATACAAAGTTGGTATTAGCTTAAAATGTCTACCAAGCCTGTTTTGGGGGCCATATATACCTGTGGAACTGAAAAAAATGTAGCTAGGACTCGCTAAAATATTAATATTTGAATTTAACTGAATTGGGCTTTGTGGCTAGTTTGGATTTATAGCTCAGCACAAGTCTTTGTTTTTAGGTCTTGTTTTGGCCTGAGCAGATCTCCAGAACACAGGTTTCTCTAGCATCCCTGTCACCATGTTGGGCCAGTTGACAATTTTAGGCTACAAAGTCATCTGCTACACTTCTTGAATATTTCCCGTCTGAAAAAGCTGGACATATGGGGTTGTCTTCAAAAATGATAACATTCAAGTATTAATGAGTGTTTGTTGACACATATTTGCACAGCCGATTTTTTACTATTTTTAATTACTGGCTTTTTTCTTGGTTGTCACTGTCCCATAATTGTTACAGCATAGTTTATGCTAATGAATATCACTGGTGCATTTCTAGTATTAGTATCTTATACTGTTATTAATGAGAAACCATACATTTAAAATATTTATTACCATTAAAATATTATTTTTCTACAAATTTGATTTTTTTGCCTTCTCTGTTACTTTTTACTCTCATATTCTTCCCAGCTACTGTGCCCAAACACCACCCTTTACTAAGTATAACTAATGAATCAGAGTGTTTTTGTTTTGTTTCTTAGGTAATGATATAGCTCTAACTGGAAAGGTATAATCTCTCCTCTCTGTTTTTTTCTCCATTTAGTAGATGATTGATATACAAAAAGCTGTCTACTAGGGGAGGAGCTACAAAGGGAGAAGGCAGAAGAATCTGGAGCTATACTGGTTTCAGAAGCATTTTACAAACATATAAACATATTAGAAAATTAGTCTCTATATAGTGTAGGTTTTGCTGAGTGTTCATTTGCATTTCTAGCGGAGTGTGTTTGTGTGTGTGTGTGTACATAGTTAACCCTTAAACAACATGGGTTTTGAACTGCATGGATCTACTTATACACAGACTTTTTAAAATAAATATATTGGAAATTTTTTTGGAGATTTTTGACAATTTAAAAAACTCACAAATGATCCATGTAGCCTAGGAATACCAAAAAAAATAAGAAAAAGTTAGATATTATTGTAAGAATACAATGTATTATACATTATATTATACATATATAAAATACATGTTAATTGACTATGTTATTGGTAAGGCTTCTGATCAACAGTAGACTATTAGTAATTAAGTTTCTGGAGAATCAGAAGTTATATACAAATTTCTAACTGTGGGTGGGGGTTGGCATCCCTAACCTCCACTTTATTCAAGGTCAAATCTGTGTGTGTGTGTGCGTGTGTGTGTGTGCATGCGCGCTTATATAATGCTTATAGCTTGAGATTTACTCTGATGACAGTATGTGTACTTTTATAAAAAGTATGCTTTTACTATGCTTTTATCTATTTCTCGTAATGCCCACACAGTGGTAAAGTCTAGGTGTTTAGTAATATTTGTCAAATTAAAAAACGAAACAAAACAAAACTGAGTAAAACAGCAGGGTAAAAGAGCCTACCAGCTATTGCCTTGGATAAAATATATAAACTGGAAACATGCACTTACCTAAAATCACCACATGTTTACATTACCTGTATCCCAGAAAAGGAAGAACCACATATGTTGTTGAATTCTAAGGAACATACCTTCACATTCTGTTTTAGTCAAAAAAGTCCCAGCTCTCCAAGGTTTCTGATGGAATCCCGGACAGCACTGATCACAGCTATCACCACATGTATTATGCTCACACTCACAGCGGGATTTCTAGGCAAAAATTGGGGGGAAAGCATAATTTTAGTATTTTTGGAACCACAAATGAAGGGCTTTCCCCAGAAGGTAGAAGGAAGAGAAGAGAGAACTTTGAGCCCACGTGCCAAAATGTGAAATTCCTGTCAGTCTGGAAAGGAAGAACTACCAGCCGTGGGAGTGGACATATTTGATCAACACCAGCCTAAGGAGGTCCAGACAGGTTCTAGAATCACTGGGCTCAAGTCTGAAAGAGAGCACAGGCCCAACTGAGATCGATCTTGAAGACTGAACTCCTTACTCTGATTCCTGAGTTCTATAGGTTTTCTGGTTTGGAGGTGTCCACTTTAAGGCAAAGTACCGTTAACATTTAAGGTGTGGGAAGAGGAGAATAGATTCCTAGGCACCGAAGGCCATAGGTCTAATAGAAATCTAATGTCCCAGGACTGAATCTCCTGTCTGTGTGTGCTCCGAGTACAGTCCAATTCATCGTGTGGAACCGGGCCTGCAACGCTGCCTTGTGGGCTCTCACAGCTTGGGGAACACGTGAGAGACAACACCCACACCCTGCAGAGAGCTGCACCACGGACTTGCCCAGAAGGATAGGCCAGGGCATTTGAACCTTCCCTAGGAAGTCACATTATGATGCATTAGTCAGAAAACCAGCTTTGAGAGAAATAACCATTTGTATTACGGTTTTAGAGGAAAAAAAAAATCTGTACATAAGTAACTATGTTCACTGATCTTACTACTCAATATGTTTCTTCCCTATAATATACAATAGATGATTCTGTATTTCACCAGTTTATGACCGAGAAAAACAGATATCCATTCATCTTCTTTTTAGGTGATGCTTATTTAATACATGGGCATTAATAAAAAAATTCAAGCCAAAAGCATTCTAGCATTTTCTACCTGGCAGTTTCATCACTCTCTTGAATACGCTCTTCAATTCCACGCCGTTTCACCCCAGCCCTACCTCAGCCTCCTGTTCCATGGCCTTTCCTATTTACTTCCATGTGCAGTTTTCATTTGTTTGCATTAATTTTTTTTTGGTGAAAACTTTTAAAAAGAAATGGTCAGGTTGATTGATGGCAGGCATTCTCTAAAGTTAAATCATACAGCAGGCTGTCATCACTAGAGAGGTTTCAAAATAGATAGACCAGTTTGGAAGCCTTTTTGGAAAAAAAAAAAATTAATATGTTTTCTGATACTGTGGTGGCTGACTTCAAAGTCTATCATCCTAACTGCCAGCTCTGTTTCACCCTGGCATGGCTTCCTGTTACACCGTCTAACTGGGGACCTGACATCCATTCACAGCATCCCTGTCGGTAAAGCAGCTCATGAAGCATTTGACAGTTGAGAGTTTCATTTTGCTAAGCATCCTATAAATATACATACATTTGTCACCGGATCAAGTGGACAAGCCCTGGCATGACCATAGCAGATGCACATCCCTCCGACCGAAATATCCTTGACCGAGTAGTAATACTGCAAAAAGCAATCCAGAGAGAAATCCTGTTAAGATGACTGCAAGGTGTAAGTAACAAAAGGGAACATTAGCTTAAAAATGTTACTTTCTGCTTTTATCCTTAGTTTGAAGCACGAGGGAACAACGGAGGGCTCACAAAAGGTATCGAGTTAACTCCTTGCACTGTGATCAGAGCCCAGAGAAAGAACGCTTCTGATTTACGTTTGGTGGGCATTTGAGAAATTTCCTTCCCCCAGACATATAAAGTCTATGCTGGAGTATTTATTATTGAGGGCAAGTTGTTATGGCGGGGTGGGAGAGGGTAAGGGCAATAACTCCTCATAAAAGTTGTTTTATGTAGTTTTGTGAAAGAAAACTTCCTTTATTGCCATTATAGGAAGCTCAGTGTTCATTAATCACATGCGGCCTGTCTTACTCAATGAAGAAACTCAACATATTTAGAGGAAATCATGCTCGTAACAAAACGTTTCTTAACCATATTAAGAGGAAATAAAAGGTAATGAACTGCAAGATTGATTTAACATAATGTAAGAAGTAAACTACATAGGTGGGACACTTGCTATTTTTTTCATTTTTATGTGAAAATGTCCATGTGATTACTTTCTTATTTGAAATTAATATAGGGCTATGTCTTTAATTATTTTAATCTACCCACCTATTTTTAAAGATAATTTATAATTATAGTACTGGACTATTTAAAAATTTTAATTAATATGCACATAACATTTTATAATTGTGAGAATACATTATCTTATAGAATCCAAATAATCATCTCCGTGGTAGATAGTTCTATTATTCTAATTATTCACATTAAAAGACCCAGCAAGGGGGCGCCTGGGTGGCTCAGTCGTTAAGCGTCTGCCTTCGGCTCAGGTCATGATCCCAGGGTCCTGGGATCAAGGCCCACATCGGGCTCCCTGCACGGCGGGAAGCTTGCTTCTCCCTCTCCCACTCCCCCTGTTTGTGTTCCCTCTCTCGCTATGTCTATCCCTGTCAAATAAATAAAATCTTTAAAAAAAATAAAAATTAAAAATAAAAAACCCAGCAAGACTAAGTAGGTGAATACAAATCTGAGTTCCCTAGTTACAAATTCCCTTTTTCCATTTACTTCTTTTATTTTTCCTGTTTGTTTTTGTTGTTTACATAGAGTATCTTTTATAATATTTTTTGTTACCTTTCTTTCTTGATATACCTAGACCTGGAACTTGAAATGAAACTAGCCAGGAGTTTAGGTAATGTAAAAGTCTGCTTTTCACTAACTTCATCACTTAATAATATAGAAATGAATAGGGATATTTGCTCAGAAAGCTGATACAGTATTTTGTAGATGCTTTTAAAATGGGGAAATTTGTTTTAAATATAAATGCATAATGCTTCACTTTTGAGTCATGAAGAGCTGAAAATTCAATATCCTATTTTTATATATTTAAATTTATATGTAGTGTTTACTGAACTTGAGCACTTTCAAAAAGCTTATTTATATGTTGCATTTTATTGCACTATTTTAAAGGCTCATGTACAATGAAGTTATAAATAATAGATGTGCATCCAACCCCCACTCTGCCTTCTGCAAAAGATGATAAAAGGAACATATTTATTTACATTGGTTTTTTTCCTCCGTTAGATATACTGTCGGAAAAGATTAAATTTCACTTCAAAATTACTCAGTCTTCCTCAGGGTATATTTTTAAGTCATGTCAACATAATAATAAAGGTGATTTTTTAAACAAGAGGCTAAACATTGCAGTAAAATAATGATTACTTCTGCATAAGATAATTTACAATATGCTGAAATGTAATGCAAGGTAAAATTATTTCAGGTTTGGAAAATGCAGGGCACTAAAACATCCAATGTGTGTTGTATGAGGATAATCAAACCTTAAAAGTTATTTTTGGGATGATGGAGTGGTTAGGTGTGGGTAAGTTAAGTAATGAGAAGAAAATATACGTAAGGGGTATTCATGAACAGTGAAAAGTGCTGCCCTTCGATATTCAGTCTGCTGGTTCAGCGATTTGTAATTGGTGGCAGTAGTCAGACTTTTAGAACTAAGTGCATCGTTCTAGAATTAAGTGCTGTGTCTCACAATCTCAGTTTCTCTCTACAATCCTATTTCCACCTTCACCTCTAGTCATAGAGTATTCTGTTAGCATAGATTTGCTTTATGGATTTATAGCTGAATTGGTAACAATGTCTTGGTTGTACAGCAGCCTATAAGGAGTGGGACATAAACTAGTGAATGTGGTAAGGAATAGGTAAGAAGAAAGGCAATTATTACTTTAGTAACCTGGACTGATCCGCTATGTCATAATCCATAAATTCCAATTTAACATTGGAAAACAGCACTTCTGTTAGCTCCTGTTTTCAAAGATCTATTAAAAGGAATGCCATCACCTTTCCTCCCCAATATTCTATTTATAAAAGACAATAAAACAGGGTATACAATCAGTTTTCCGCCACAGTAGAGCTTTTTAAAACTATGCCTTGTGATTCATTAATGAAACATAAAGTTAAATTATTTGATTGGACAAAATGGTCCACAGAATAGCAACACTTAGATCAGCTAAAAACTTGCTAGAATTATTGTTTCTCAATTCTGCCCTAGACCTACTGGGCCAGAATCTACATTTCCACAATATCACCAGCTAATTCTATTCACATTAAAGTGCAAGATACAGGGGTGCCCGGGTGGCTCAGTTGTTAGGCATCTGCCTTCGGCTCGGGTCATGGTCCCAGTGGTCCTGGGATCGAGCCCCACATCGGGCTCCCTGTGCTTCTCCTTCTCCCACTCCCCCTGCTTTTGTTCCCTCTCTCTCTGTGTCTCTCTCTAATAAATAAATAAAATCTTAAAAAAAAATTTTAAAAAGTGTAAGATATATTGAGATGTGTATGTGCATGTGTATGTACTGAGTTATGATAGAAAATATATTTCTTAGTGTGGATTGTGGCCAAAAATGTTTCAAAGCCACGGCACATCCTGAAGTAACTCCCCATTGGCAATTATGATGGTAGTTCAGAACACCTAAAGTGACAAAAACAAATTCAGTCATCAAAAATAAGATTATGAACTAGGCACTGCAATCTTCGCTTTACAAATGAGGAAATTCAAGTTTAAAAATGTTAAAAAGTTTGATAAATGCTACATATCTAATAAGTGGCAGAGCTTGGCTTTGAACAAAGGAAGGTTATGTTGAATTTTAGTCTGATAACAACCACTCCTACAAATCACTGAAAGAGAGCTTTTTAAAATTACTTAACAATTAAAAATGTCATTTACAGGCTGCAATATGATTCATCCTAACTTACTCTTCGGGTGACAATCGGGTCTATTTCTCTTGGGTCTTTGTGAGCAAACATCATCAAATCAGCATTCAAGGTCCGGATCCTCTGAAATCTCAAACGAATATAGCGAGCAGAGGTAAATTCTAGCAGTTCAGGAGAAGGGTCATCAGCACTTGGTCTCCCATTGATCAAAGAGATGTGAATCTACACAATATGGGAAATAATTTAACAATTGAGGTTACCAAAAATGAAATATCTGGCTTTCTCTGATTTTTTCTTGTGAAAATAAAGTTAAGCTTCACGTCTCCCAATTAGGCAGATGCAGGTTGATATTTACTCACTGGAATATAGTGTAGTAACTGAGGAAGTTTACAGATCTTCTAATATACATATAAGCAATTCATTTGTTTATATTTTAGGCATTCTCTATATACTGCAATTCCCCATATTCTTTTTTTCTAAGGCATTGCATCTACTTGATTTTGCTAGGATTTCCATAAAACCTTAAGTCAATCATTCTTTTTCTGAAAATTGTTATGCCCTAAAATTAAAGAATCTGCTACATAGTGGGAAACCAGAAAAGTTGGTTTTTAAAAAAGCTACAAAATTTCAGATAATAGAGGAACTTAAAGTACTTCTAAGATTGAAAGTATCGAATTATACAGTCTTAAATATATACAGCAAAAATTGACACATTAGAAGAAAACTAGACAAATCTACAATCACAGTGAGAGATTTCAAAAGGTTGTTTTTTTGTTATTTGGGTTTTAGAAATTGATAGATTAAGAAGACAAAATAATTAACAAAGATTTAACATATTCTATGAAAAATACACTCTACGAAAATACATTGAAACCTGAATGGAATAGTACATTTTTAGGAAAATAATTCCGTACAATTAACACGAGAAGAAATAAAATCTAATCATGTAAAAAATGGAGAAATTAGCAAAGAACTACCCTCTAGAGGTGCACAAGCCCATATTCTCTCAAGGGCATCTCATGAGAGTAGAGAATTCTGATGAGGAAAAACTGATAAAACCAAAAGTATTCCTATTACAGATAAAGAAATTGTTTCCCTAATACCTGAAGAGCTCCTATAAATCAACAACAAAAAGACCAACAACTAACACAAAAACACAAAACTATACAGGGACTATTCAAAGAAAAAGAAATAGTAGTGGCCATTAAGCTTTCGATAAGACAGTGAACCTCATTCATAATAACAGGACTGCTCATTTAAGTTTTTTTTAAAGATTTTATTTATTTGATTGAGAGAAAGCGCGAAAGAGAGAGGGAGGGAGAGGGAGAAGCAGGCTCCCCGTGGAGCAGCAAGCCCGACGCACACTGGGATCATGACCGGAGCCGAAGGCAGATGTTTAACAAACTGAGGCACCCAGGAGCCCCATGACTGCTCAATTAAAATACAGTAATAAACCGTTTCCATTTTTTCACATTGTCAAAACCCCAAAATACCTACAAAACTCCCTCATGGCAAGACTAAGGAGATACAGGAATTCTCTGACACAGGTGTGGATGGCACAAACCACTATGAAGGTGAATTCAGCAATAACTATCAACATTACAAATGCCTAGAATTTGGGCCTAGAAATTCTACTTCTGGGAAATATCCTACATATATATATTCCTACAGCATTTTTTTGGTAATAGCAAAAGACTGGAAACAATCTAATACCTGTCAATAATGTATGGCTGGTTAAATTCATCTATACAATGAATTACGTGTATGATGAAAAGGAATGAGGAAACTCTCAATATACTCAAAGGAAGAAGTACAGTACTTTTACTTTTTCTGTCCTTGGTAAATGCAGTATTCTCTATGTGATAAATTATATCAAAATTGTCCAAAAACTTTAAACTGGCAGGGTTTAGATGGAAAACATACACATGGAGAGAGACAGACAGATAGACACACACACACACACACACACAAATTCAGTCATCATTCACACACACAGGAGGCTAAAGAGACAGGAATACAAGAAGAGAAGAATATGTGCTGGGCTGAGGGCGGTCTGTACATACACTGAGAAACTGTGACTTGAGGTCACCCACTGGAATTCTCATCCACTTTTGCAAGACGATAAATCATGTGTGTTAATTATGTTTTTTGACAGGAGAGGCAATGATATGTATTTCTATTCCTAACATCCTGCATTTAGATAATCCCTGAGAGATTTTACAAACTGACTGCCAATAAACTACTGAATCACTAGAAAAATAAATATAGCAAACTCTGAGATGAGAAACTAATTCTGATGCCACGAAGAATAAACTCAAAATGGTTCAGGATAAAAAAATATGAAATGTCCCAGCTAACTGAGTCTACCTTGGATATTTAGTGGAGAATAAATTCATTTAACGCATTTGAGGATGAGAGAATGCAAAATCTTCTAAAACACTGAACCTCAATATACTGAATACCCTCCTCTAAGGGAGGAAATTCTAGAAGACTTAAGTAGGACTTGCACATTCCACAGTTCTGGTATCTAGCAGGTGAGCCAGAAATATGTTTAAAATTAAGTTGTCTCTATGACTTAAGAATGTATCAATTAAATGTAAAGCTTGAACAAACAGATGCATGAAGCAATTAAAATTAGTCCCCCTTAGAGATTTTGGCATCCAAGAAATCACCAGTGCCCTTGAATTCATGCTTAAGTTTGTATCTTATCAAACTCTCCCTTCATTGCTTCCAAAAGTACCATTTGAAAGAAAGGAAGACATCACCACAAGTCCAGGATTAATGTTTCTGAAAATTATTAAGGTTTATTTGGTGTAAATGCTGTGGGAGCCATATCTGTACTGTATACGGAATCAGAAGTTCCTCAATGAAACATACAAGAATTTAAAAAAAAAAGTGATGCACATGTTCTCATTTAGGTTAATAAACCATATGATAGCGACATAAAGGATTCGGCAAAAGAACACTTCTCCTCACAGCTTTGGTATTTTCATCAAGCTACTCTGCCAAGAGATCTTGTGAGTTAGTCCCAAGCGGTTTCTGGGATATAAAACCAGCCAGATGTTTGGCCATGTTGTGTGCAGCATCCTTCCGTCATTTTCCCCCACTCTCCTTCAAAATAAATCATAATATTAGATAGGATATGTCCACTGGCACTTTGCTGTGTAATTCCAAGTCCATTGGATAGCTTTGCATACTTCCTGATCTCCTGGGGGGTGACAACTGGAGGGTGTCTATCTTCAAAAAGATGAAAAGTGTCAGTCCTTAAGACCACCGCTGCCTTGCTGAGAGGCCGTGGGAAGTCTGTGGTGGTCTGGTGTCTTCTGAAATGATTTCCATTACAGACATGTTGGAGAGTATATGTTCATGCTGTCAAAGGAATTCATTCCAACTGAAAATATCAGCCTGATTAACAGCCGGCTTTTTAGATTTTAAAATTACACACTTCTCTGAAATTATTTTCACAGATAAATAAAAAGAAAAAAAAACTCGAGAAATACCCTTTTTTATGACCAAACGTCTAAGTCAATATTATACTCTACCCATCCAAATAATTCTGTTCTTATTCGTTGTAAGCATACTATTTAAATCACATTTCCTTTGCAAATGGATAAGACCTCTGCGCCTCTATGGTGTTTTTACTTTTGTGATTAGAATACAACTTAAAAATAGTTTTCACAGCAAATAATCAATTTTCTAGTATGGATAATTGCTCCTTATTATTATGTTTTTCTATTTATATTATTGCATCTGCTTTAGATTGCTGGAAGAGCTATAGACCTAATATGTTCCCCAATGATACAAGTTTATTGAGTAAATGGATGGGTGTGAGAACGATCACTAAGGATCATTAATAATCATCAGAAACTTGGAAAGAGTAGTGGAAGAGGATGGCGTTGACAACGTGCTGTGTGGTATACTTTGTTCATACATTTTAAAAATCCCATTTTTATCACCGGTCTTTAAGTGTACCAGTGGCATAAGAACAAGTTGAAAGTGAGGTGATCCCAGGAGATACAACAAGAAAATCCACGTGTGTAGGATGAGATCAGCTGTCTGTAGGCATGGCCAAAGAATCTGTACAGAAATAAGTGGCTGAGACTTGTGGGAACCCCTTAAACCCAGTCATGCTTAATATGATGTTTCAGAGAGGGAGAGTAAAATTATAATAACTTTGAAAAGGGAGCCTAATCACTTTTATTTTATCCTGTGAGGGGGAAAAAAGCATGTATCTGGTGAAAGGGGATAAGCTGTGTGAAGCTTAGGAAAAGGAGATAGTGCAGTAATTTGTCACTGTGTTTCTAGCACAGAGCAAAGGCTCTGGTTCTGGCTCCGGGTGGTCAATAGAAACCCCCAGATGATCGATTTTCAATCCTGACCATACTGGATCTGTTGTAGCATTTAAAACAATGGGTTACTCCCATGACTTCCAGGACACCACGCTGTCCTGGTCTTCCTACCCCTCCAGCTACCTTTCTCCCTCTCCCTCACTGCTTACTACCTCCCTCCTTTCCTCCCTGACTTTCTAATATTGGAGCAACACAGTATCACGTTTTTGGCCTCTTTTTTTCTTTGCTATCCACACTTACTTAGTGATCCCATCAAAGCTCACCAATGTATATACCATCTGCAATTGTTTATATGATTAATGAAAGTAAAACACACCCTGTGGCAAAAATACATGCATGCATACATACCATCTATACACTGATGTCTCGCACACCTGTATGTATCTCCTGGCCTAACCTCTCCTCTGAAGGTCAGAATGCAGACTCCAACTGCCTTCTGGATATACTGATGTAGCTGCCACATAGGCATCTCAAACTTGTATCTCAAACTGAATTCCTGATCTTCATCCCCCACAATCTTCCCAACCTCACTGAATATAAGAAACAGCACAGAGGATCATAGGGGAAGGGAGGGAAAACTGAATGGGAAGTCTTCAGAGAGGGAGAAAAACCCTGTGAGACTCTTAACTATAGGAAACAACCTGAGGGTTGCTGGAGGGGTAGGTGGGTAGGGGGTGGCTGGGGTAGGTCACTGGGTGATGGGCATTAAGGAAGGTACGTGATGTGATGAGCACTGGGTGTTATAGGCAACTGATAAATTATTGAATTCTACATCTGAGACTAATGATGTACTATATGTTGGCTAATTGAATTTAAATTAAAAAGAAAAGATAAGGAATAGTGCAGAGGACCACAGGGGAAGGGAGGGAAAACTGAATGGGAAGAAATCAGAGAGGGAGACAAACCATGAGAGACTCTTGACTCTGGGAAACAAACTCAGGGATGTGGAAAGGGAGATGGGTGGGGGGATGGGGTAACTGGCGGATGGGCCTGAAGGAGGGCACGTGATACGATGAGCACTGGGTGTTATATGCAACTAATGAACCATTGAGCACTGCAGCAAGAACTAATGATGTACTATACGTTGGCTAATTGAATTTAAATTAAAAAAAAGAAAAGAAAAAAAATAATTTCATCCTTTCACCTACTCAGTCCTCCAAATTGGAGTCCCGCTTGACTGCTTTTGTTTTCTCTCTTTAGGCATCCAATTTGTCCACAAATCCTCTTGGCTTTACCCTCAAAATATATCCAGTATCCAAACACTTCTTACCACCTCCCTTAAAACCATATTGCTGCCAACGTTCATCATCTCCCCTTGCTGCCCCCACTGCCCCGGGCGCCACAATAGCTTCCCAGGAGTTTTCCCTGCTACCACTCTTATTTCTGTACAGTGTACTTGCAACCATAACAGCTGGTTTTTCAAAAAGTCTTTACTAAATGTTTCCATCAACTTATTCTCTGTATTCCCTAAAAACAAAAATCACAAGTTTAATATTAATGATGTAAAATACTGTGCACCAAAGCCAGCCCTCGTTATGCTGCAAGTTGGTCCATGTTCTCTTCGCTTCTGTCAGCCAGGTGATCTTTAGTAATTTCGGCAGAAATTCCTCTTCAACAGATTATATGCTAGAAGCAAAAGCTGGCTAGCAACTAACCAAAGTAGTGTGAACCACAGCAAAAGAGGTCCGTTCCCAACTCAAGCCCCATGCCATAATCACATTCATCATTAGCAGACTGCACAAAAGTCATCATTTCCTGAACGGGAGCAAAAGCTTTTAGTTTCTCCTCTTCACTTAGTGCCTCAACAACTGTCCTGCAGATTCTCGAGGTTAGCATCTGTTTCAGGGATCTCTCTAAAAATTCCTTTGAAAATATAACTCCGCTCATGTCATTCTTGTCCTTAAACCCTTCCAATGCCTTTCTATTTCATGACCAATAAAAGCCAAAATTTTTGCAATGAACTACAAGATCCTAAATTATCTCAATGCCATTTCCACCCTGAAACACTGCCAAAGAAAACATTAACTTCGAGACCTCTTTTCTTACTCTTTTTCTATTCACATTGCTCTGGCCAGACCGCCATCTTTGCTAGAACATGTCAGACAGGATTTTATCCTCAAGGATTTAGCACTTGGGGTTCCCTTGCCTGGAATGTTCTCTCCCTGGGTACTGCAATGCACAGTTTCTCATCTCTTTCTACCCTTGCTTAAATGAGGTCTTCTTGGTGAGTCTTTCAGTGACTAATTACAGGGCAAACTTCATCCTGGCATTTATCTTCCCCCTACCTGCTTAAGTGTTCTCCTTAGTACTTCTCTTCTAACATACCATGAGTATGCTTTGCCTATTTATCATAATGATTATTTCTCTCCACTCTTTGGGTCATAAATCACAAGAATTCAGGAATTTTATTAACTGATATAATCCCCAGCATATGGGACAGTATTTAGCAAAAATTAAGTATTAAGTAAAAAATTTCTGAATAAATGAAACTTACATAAATCTTGAATATTTAGCAAATTCAACTAGCTTTCTACCTAAAAAGCAATTTCATAAAATAATTAATCAGATTTTTCTGATATTAGGTGAGTAAATCTTTGAGTATGTTATTTCCACAAAATGAAATTAAAGTCACTAATCCTTTGTATCATGTTCTACCCAAGCATTTTGAGTTAAGTTGATTTAGAGAAAATTAGGAACTTAACAGCTTTGATCCATAATTTCCTTACATCTAAGTCTACTAGATTTTTTTAACATTAGTTAGACATAAGTTAACTTCATTCTTTATTACACCAAAATTTCATTTTGACAGGTTCCTCTCAGCTGGGAAAAGCACATTAAGTGTTTTTTCCAAGTCGTAAAACAATGTATTTAAACTTAAGATCTACTCAACTTAATGTTGTTAGTCAGAGCAAGGTAGACCTTACCCAGTGGTTTGTGCAATTATATCTGGCTATCTCAGTGTCCAACCTATAAAACTGATATACTATTATTTACAAGAAAGTAGATGAAAAACCAATAAACTATTTTAAATTAAAAATTCCTTAAACCCCATACACAAGCAGTAACAATCAATAAGAATTAAAAATCACAGGGGCGCCTGGGTGGCTCAGTCGGTTAGGCAACTGCCTTCAGCTCAGGTCATGATCCTGCAGTCCCGGGATCGAGCCCCGCATCGGGCTCCCTGTCGGCAGGGAGTCTGCTTCTCCCTCTGACCCTCCTCCCTCTCATGCTGTCTCTCATTCTCTCACTCAAATAAATAAAATCTTTAAAAAAAAAAAAGAATTAAAAATTACATAGTACCTTGTTTCTAGCAGAAATTTTTTTTACTAAACCATTATCTTTATGGATTGTTTGGTTTTATTATACATAACTGAATAGTTATTAAAAATACCCATCCTTATCTTTTAAGTTTTTATTTAAATTATAGTTGGTTGATGTATGGTAAAAATGGTTTCAGGCATAGAATTTAATGATTCATCACTTACATATAACCTTCCTTACCTTATCAAAAAAGTTTCACTGCAATTTTTTAAAGCCTTTTCAAATCAATGCATTATTTTTAAAGTCTTAAATATATGAAAATATATGAATATATGAAAATTAAGGCCTGGGTAATAAAAATACATTGGCTAGATAATAATGAGGCATAATATGTCATTTATAATACAAGTTAATAAAATATTTAAACATTTCAGACTAGAGATTTTCCTATCAAGAATCTTTAGGGCCTTAATGAGGAAATGGGGCATTATGGAATCAATGTTTTTCCAGTCCATTTTTTCTAGTTATATCAAACACAGTTTATTGAAGTCCTCTTTCCAATTTCTTTTATCCCGTATTTTGTTATTTGCTCCAACAAAGAGCCAACACTTTTATGATTTTTATTAATTCAAACATTGCTCATTTGTGCATCCAGAAAATGAAGTACTTTGAAGGCTTATAACACATGCTTACAAAGCTTTATCTCTGGTCTGCCTCTTCACACTTCAATATTTCTCATTCATTCACTTAGTCATTTATTCAAAAATACTTATTGGCTACTTACTATATTCCAAATCACTGAGTCATTTTCACTTCCCCTTTTGTGCTGTGGTCTATCTCATCTCCGGGCTCCTTTTTTCAAACTCCTTTTCTGTCTCCCCATTGCTCCCTGTTTACACAGATATAACTTTATACATCTTTCAGGTCTCAGCTGAGATGCCAATTCTTTCCTTCCACGAACATCTCCATGTCCTGTCTAGGAGACCCTCCTGTGAATTCTCTGAGCTCCTGTGACTCTCCCCTATTATCACTGCCTTTTTACTTGTGTCTGCTACTAGATTGTAAGTTAAATGAGAATGGGAATTTTGTCTTATTTCCAATGTAGTCTTGGTGCTGAACATAGTGAGTAGTACACAGTGGATTCTCAATAATTATTTATTGAATGAATAAATCAGTGTCAGAGCCCAATATTAGAGACTATTATAGAACTTTCAATGAGTTAACTCTTTCCTCAAACATTCACAAATTGTGTATTGGGTATGTCATTTAAAAATTGATTTTGTATGTGTTTTACCTATATTTTAAAATCCATTTATTGGATATACATCAAGAATTTTAGCATGAATTTTGCTTACTATGATTGAATAAATCTCCCTAGAGCTGCAATAGTTCAAGTACCTAAAAAGACATAAGAGTATCTCTGTAGCCCTAATATTTGGATAAGTCAACAAAAAATTATTTAAGATAATGGTAGAGCCATTGCTGAAGAGACAAATAATAGGGTACATTTGTATAAAGGTGTACATCCCTTCAGGTATCTCAATATTCTTACTTAACAGAACTACAAAGACTTTTTGCATGCATAGTACAATGCAGTGACTTAGTTTGGATGGTCCTTAATAAGTATCCCACTACCATTAGAAGTTTACAAGTTTTACAAACCTGAGCAAAACGATGATTCTTCCATGCTTGATGACCACTGAGCTACTTGAAAAGTAATATTCTAATATATAAAATGTCAAGGACTGCGTGTGACTTTAACCTCCTTAACTAACCTATCTCAATACAGGGAAATGTCAGCTTAATGAACCGTTTAACAAATATGACTGTATCATTGACTACTCTACCCTTGACTTAGTCTTAACAGGTCTTTCACTCTCCACAAGACGATATTTTGCTTTGACACCTTCTTGGTTCCAAATGCCCCCAAAACTTAGATTTTTTTTTCTCCTGTTTTTCTTTCTTTCTTTCTTTCTTTCTTTCTTTCTTTCTTTCTTTCTTTCTTTCTTTCTTTCTTTCCTTTTTTTTCCTCCTTCTTCTTAGAATTACATTTCTTGCATTTGTCATTTCTGGATAAAAGCTTTCATATCTCCACGAAATATTTAAACAGATTCTTCACTATTAAAACAATAGTCATTAATAAATTGCAGCATAATAATAAAATCAGTTCTCTTCAAGGAGTACTTGTCATGTTTTTATTTTTCTTCTCTCCTAGTGAAACTAGTTAAATATTGTACTCCAAAGGTTTGCATAGCTTCTCTACTGATCAAAGAACATCTCCCTCCCTCCCTCCCCTCTCTCTCTCTCACTTTGTACCAGTTACCTATTCTTTCTACCAACAGCACCTCTTATGTGGCAGCACTGTCTAACTCCTATGGACAGAGAAGGGCAAAGTTTTTTAGAAAAATAAAAAAATAGAGGCAAATCTCAGCTACTTTAGGAGTTTCAATTTTCTCAAAGTCTCAAAACTGATATGGTCCTTTTTTTCAAAAGTTTCTGGTGGTCTTCTTGCTTTGTGCAACTCAAAGCAATCCAGAAAAACATTTATTTCTAAGCCACTTGCTCAAAAAAGCTTAGGTTAGTGTCATCTGAAACACGCCCAGATGGGTGAACTATAATCCATCATAACTGAATGAATGATCCGGGTATCATTCCCACTGGTCATGATGTATAAAAGGAACAACGACAACTAAGTTGCTAAAATTTTCAAAAAGAGAAAACTATTACTAAATACAAATATAACTCCCCCCACCCTTTTATGTTTGCTCTAAAAGAACCTTGACATGCAGGTGCTCATTATACATCTATTTTAAAAATTTATAATTATTTTCAAAAATAATTTTTTAAACTACTAAGTTAAAAATTTTTTATTACTTGTGTTTTTCTTTTGCTAGTTAAAGTATTTAATATTTGCAAGGATAAAAGAAGAGCTGTCAAAATAGGTTTTCTCAATCTCTTTTGAGAGCTTCTCATTTAAATTTTATCAAATGCACATGCCATTACTAAATCTTTGTGCTGTCAAGCTAAGACTATATAGGGACACAGACATCATCTGATATTCATAGCCAGGAAAGAATCTAAGAGGAGTCACTTCAGAGCAGGCCATGAGGAAAAGTCACCAGAAGGAAAGTTCTCTCACTTTCCTCTAACATTTGCTTTGCTCCAAATTTTGTTTGGGGTGTGCCTCAACCAGAGAGAGACTAAGAGAATAGTTTCATCAGTCATCTATTCCACCTTCATAGCTATTTCGGAAATGCCTTTGCAAAACATAGTACGTTGCACATAAAAACAATAGCTATCACTGTGTCCTTACTGAATACAGACACTCTTGCATGTGATCTGTGTAGACTAACTCATAGAGTAGTCAGTCACTTAAAACAACAACCGTTTTCGAGGTTGATATTATTATCTCTTTAAGAAGAGAAAACAGATACTGACCTTTTGACAAGTAGGGCTAAGTTCATATAGCTAGGATTTGTTCCATTTCTGGTCTGACTCTGTTGGCTGAACTCCTCAGCTCAAACACGACACAGAGTAGAGGTTGTGTGAGCATTTGTTGAAGAAATAACAGCCAGTAATCTAGGCACTATTTGCAGACTTCCAGCAACAAGAAGCTCACCCCTGGA